AGGACGGCATGTCGCTATTGATGAGAGTTAGCCTCAGGGGGAGTCACAGCAGCAGGCACAGCAGACAAAGCAGACTTAGGAGGGAGTGTAGTCAGAGGAGACAGAGCAGGCACCTCAGCCACAATTACGCCGCTCTGGTCGTACTCGTACCTAGGTGACACCGAGGGCAGAGACACAGCGAAGGGGTTCTCGTCCGCCTCCTAGACCATAGGGTCCGCCTCCAGTGACTCATCTGGATTTGAGGGCCACCACGGTCAAGCAGGTTCAGCAGCTCATATTTGTACAGTTTGAGGAGTGGTTCCCGCTGAGGAGGGATGAGCGTGCTTCAGAGGGCTTCTATACACCACTGCAGGAAGATTTCTATAATGCATATCTTAACAGTGGGGCTGCATTCAGATCATAGAGGGTGTGTTCCATTGAGGCCATCATAGCAGCAGCAGGAGAGCATATTCGTCCTTACCTATCTTACTTGCCAGGGCTGACAGACTTACTCGGACGGACAGGCATATATGTACCATCTTGGGTCCGTGAGTTCTATGCTACACTTTGGATTGACCCGCAGCACAGATTCATTCACTTTGCATTCAGAAGCAGAGATTACATGCTGATGAGCTTCAGGGCCAGGGAGATACTCAGACTTCAGGAGCAGCCTGTCTGGCTACATGAGGTTTGCTATGGTCAGACAGCGCCTCCCAGACATCCTCATGGCGGTATGGTGCCTCCTACAGATTTGGTCCACCATTGCTTCACAGAGCCATTCAGCGCAGGGTCGAGCAGGACACCCAGTGACCTCACTCCTATAGCTATAGTGCTTGATGCTATCATGAGGAGGACCTTGCTTCCGAGGATGGTATATCGTGAGGGGGTTGACTCACATTCAGTTATGGCTACTGAATGCCCTGATGCAGCAGACTGTCTTTGATATTTGGGATCTCTTACTATCTGAGATGGAGGATACTATTGCAGAGGGGTTCAGAGGTCACCGACAGTTGCCCTATGCTCACTGGATTACATTCTTGATTCACAGAGCAGTTACAGTGAGGCCACCTAAGATGCTAGCAGAGTACAGTGGTGCTACTACAGAGTTCCTTGCATATAACATGACTCAGATGCTCCGCCATAGTGCAGTGAGGACACCTAGCTAGCCACGCCGTCGTCCAGAGGTGCCAGAGACTGTAGCCTAGTAGGATGAGACTATCAGGGGCATTGCAGCTATAGAGGAGGAGCAGCTTGATGCTTAGCAGGAAGGGATGGTCGAGAGCGACCCCAGTGACAGTTCTGATGATGACTACCAGGATATCCCTCAGATGCCTCCACGACAACATGACCATGAGGCCGGTAGCTCCAGTTCAACTCCACCTACACCACAGACAGACCCCGCTCTACTTGCTATACTTGAGCGGATGAGGCAGGATCAGGCTCACCAGGCCCAGGAGACCGCTGCTACATTTGCACAGTTCTAGGCCAGACAGGATGAGTTTCAGCGACAGCGGCAGGCAATCCAGCAGCAGCAGCAGCAGTAGGCCATGCATCAGCAGCAGCTCCTCATGTAGCAGCAATTACTCGGATTTATGCAGCATGTAGTTACTGCTATTGGGGCTCTACCACCACAGCTTTCACCCCAGATCGGCCAGTCTGCCACCACTTCTATGACTCCAGCTTTACAGCCTAGTGGGCTTCAGAGTCAGGGACAGCCAGTGACACGGTTTCCTTCACATACAGAGCAGGTGTCCCAGTGGTTTGCCTCGCCAGTGCTAGCCCCGCAGTTCACACCTCTACATATGGGCTTCACACTGGCTCAGACTTCCTCGCTGTTTGTGCTAGATACTACAATCTCTAGGAGCCTTGGTGCTACCTTTAGTGAGTTGACAGGGCAGCCTACTCTGCCATATCTACATGTCCTAGGCTCTTCCACAGTTGCACCTATTACTGGGACTACAGAGATGCTCCCTTCGTCAGTTGCATCATCAGAGCCGCCTGCTACAGTCATACCTGCAGAGTCACAGGCCGCACCAGTCCCTAGTCCGACCTAGACCGCTTCAGCATCGCTTCTAGCTACATAGGGTCATACAGCTCAGAGCTCAGGGTCAAATGATGATGGCACACAGTTCCAGCTCGCTCCTTGCACCTCAGCGCTCGACTCGTCCGCTGCAGCCCCACCGACTGACCCTTAGGTTTTGGTGTTTGACGCCAAATGGGGAGAGGGATCGAGTATGTTAGACTTAGAGGGAGCGACTTATCTAGGGGGAGTTTAGCTTATCTATTATATTTGGTTTTTTATGTGTGATACACTATTATGCATTCATGTGTTTACTTTCATGCATCGAACTCTATCTATGTGATAGTGATATCTACATGATCATGATATTTATGTGATATATGACATGTGTGCTCTCTACTTTGAATTATTTATATGTCATGTCACTTGGTTATGCTCATTTGTTTTGCTTCCGCGTTTTACTCCGATGCAAATGAGCTTTATTTCGTGTACTCATATTTGTTTCATATCTATTGAGTACATCATGTTGGCTTGGGTCATATAAGATTGCATAACTCTTTTGTTCTTATTGTCAAAAGCTTATATGAACCAAGCATGTTGAAAACCTCATCTCTTTCACATACTCGAGGTGGTATTGTCATCAATCACCAAAAAGGGGGAGATTGAAAGCATCTAGGCCCCTAGTTGGGTTTCGATGATTAATGATAATACGAGATTACTGTGACTAACGTGTGTTTTGTAGATGCAATTAAGTTAGGTCATGGTAATGGCAATTGATTGGGCAATCATGGTTGTCATGCCCCTACGATGGAAAACGTTTCGGTTTTCAAAGGATGGACGACAAGGTTAAGGATGGACTAGTTCTAAGTGTCGTTTGATATTGAAGAGACACTTAGAGTAGTTTATGACTTTGTTTTTCCTTTGGTCGTACTATTAAGGGGGGTATGGACGGGTAGCTTGACCTAGGTGAGTCTAGTGGATTAGGTGTGGTGCACACTTGTCAAATCTAGCACTAGGTAGCTCCTAAAAAGCCCTTAGATCAATTGGAGCAAACTTCATTCACATATGATTGTGAGTTGGAACTGAATGAAGGGTCAAATGCTGACCGGACGCTGGTTCGGTGTGGACCGACGACAATGGCAGAGTCCGGCCAGTTCATTTGATCAAGGTGAAGTCGTCTGCACAACCGGACGCCGAGAGATGGACCGACGCTGAGTGCCGCCGTCCTCGTCCAACTCCAGTAAGGTTCCAGAGAGCGGTTTTCGCGACCTGACACGTCCGGTCACCACTTAACTGCTCGGTTTCAGGTTGTACTGACCGGAGCGTCCGATCAACTTGACCGGAGCGTCCGGTCACCCCGCAGAGGCACATAACGGTTCGTTTTGAATGATGTGTTATAAATACTTCCTCTATTCACTTAAGGGATCACTTTTGCTCATTCCAACAGCTGAGAAACACCCTTGAGAGTGCCAAGAAGAGCAAGGTCCTAGTGAGGTGATTGAGATTTGAGAATCCAAGAGAGAGACCTCATTAGTGAAAGCAAGAGTAGCAACGTGTGCATCCACCTTTCTCATTAGGCTTGTCGTGGTCAAGTGAGAGTTCGTGCTTGTTACTCTTGGTGATCACCATCACCTATACGGCTTGGTGGTGATTGAGAGATTGGTGATCATCCAGCGGAGCTTGTGGATGACCCAACTCAAGTTGTGAGCGGTTGTGGGTGATTCACCGCGATGGAGTGTCAAAGAATCAACCCGTAGAGAGCACTTGATCTTTACGCGGATCAAGGGGGAGCTACACCCTTGCGCGGGTGCTCCAACGAGGACTAGTGGAGAGTGACGACTCTCCGATACCTCGGCAAAACATCGTCGCGTTCCTCCTTCTCTCTTTACTTTGAGCATTTACTTTGAGCAATTCAATTCTTGTCTTTATATTCATAGAATTGTCATGCTAGAGTAGGATTGGAACTTAGGTTGCAAGATTTTTTGTGCGGTAGAACATTAGAAACACTTTATAGGCACAAAGGGTGAAGTGGACTAACCGTAGGGTTTAATTCTTGTAAAAAAATTTAGAATTAATCCAATTCACCCTCCCTCTTAGGCATCTTATCCTTTCAGCCCCCATAGACGACTCCCACTGCCAAGGCATCAACACTTCAGCAGCCATGGCCCCGACACTCAACCTCGAGATGCCCGGCGCCACGCCGCCTTGACGACCAAGCCTACCCCGGCCCCACCCACGCTAAGAAGTCTTCTTCCTCCATGGAAGATAAGAATAGGTAGTCCACAAACCAAACAAACAGTGTTTTTAGTTCCCCCTAACAAATAGCGCGACAACAAATAGCGTTTTTAGTTCCCATAAACAGATAGCACGACAGCTGAGTGCATTACCATTCCCGCACCCACTGCTAAACCAAACATGACCTAAGATGAATCCAGTTGCAACTCCATTACTACAAGAGTTCTAAAATATATGGTAAAACGTACCAAACATCTGTATGACAGCAGGCAGAACTTAAAAGACAGAACATTAAGGGACTAAAGTGAACAGTTTTACATAAAAAAATGGGTTGTGATACCATCATATAAAACAATGCATATTATTACAACAATTAAATAAAATATCCTAAATCATGGCGAGTAGCTCCCTATTCTTAAATTGTATGCACAATTCCACCCCAAGGGCAGTGTCCTCATTTATTTGACACAGAAATTTGGAATACTACAACCTTCCTCCCCCTACCACCCTGTTGCACTAAGGGCAAATGCAGGGAGATAAACATACATACATACATACATACATACATACATACATACATACATACATACATACATACATACATACATACATACATGCATAAATATTCCATCCGTGCATACATGAACTTAGATGGACCTTTGTGTGGTCACGGCAGCAGCAGCAAGAGTAAGGTTGCTTAAGTGCAGATGATTCTCTGTGTTCCTTGACTGTATTGTGATGCTGTTATCAAGTTTGATGACCTCCTTTACAAGTTATCATCATCAAATATTGTCGAGAGCACAAGCCCACGGACGAATTTGCTCCTTTGAACCCTTTCCTTCTGATCCTTCTCCGATAATGATGGTTCAGCTCTGTAGATTCACCACAGCAATTTAATCAAGAATAAACACCAAAGAGAAATATAGTGAATGAGGGGGAAATTTGGTACACAAGACGAAACATTAAAACATCATCCTGAAATGTTCATTATATTGTTCAGCTCACAAGTCAAAGATGGCTATTTAGAACTAGCACTGTGAAACTAAGGCATTATGCATGACCAGATAAGCAAAATCGAGGTTTGTTCATTTCATAAATCTCTACAGAACATGTGGATGCAATCATGCATGTAGCTCATAACAATCCCTTAGAAGAGGATCTGCTACAATTTTCAAGCATAACCTTTTTTTCATTTGTTAGCACTAGTTGAAAACATGCGAAAGAAGTGCCAATAAAGCAAAATCGCATTTCAGGATTATGGGTATAATGATGGCTGTTAGGTAAAAAACAGAGCCATGAGGGCAAAAATGTCAATCATCAATGCATACAACCTTATGGCATCGGAAGTACAATATCTTCAACCTATTTCTTTGAACGGTGCCAAATAGACCTAAGAATCATGACAATCAGCATAAACCAGATCTTAGCATCACAGAGTGTATAGTGATCCACTGAGAAAGTTAGCAATATAGCCATGAAGGATAAATTACTAACATATTAAACAAACAATACCAAATAAGCTATTTGATATGATATTTTTAACATGCTTGGACGGCATAAATATGCACTGGTTTCTCAGTGAAGTACCACAATTAGAAGATTATATTATCCGCAAACACAAAAGAAAATGAGAACTGGACATAATGTGGAAAACTATGAGCTATCATACACTGACCAGATACAATGGTATCGTGGCAAAGAGGGAGCTGAGTGAGGCAGCAGAAAGAACAAGCTTGAGGTGACATACCTCTCTACAGTCTTTTCATCTGGGAATTTATTTAGCAAAAAGTTATTGTCAGATGAGTCGGAATGTAAATCTTTGGATGGTTCAGCCACAGGCAAACTACAAATTAAAGATGACAAAAATGGATCTGGTGCTGCAGCAGGAGGATTGGATACATAGGATGATCCACCGAGAAATGACTGCAAACTGCCATTTCTCAAGTCCTTTCTCAACAAAGATAACAAAGAATGGGACCCAGTAGATACTTTTCGGACTCTGCGCCTGCGCTGCATGTATTATTCATTAAGGAAAACAATGTGAATATTCTGTTCCAACATACCTATGTATCTTCAACTGTAGTATAATGTGAAAATGTAAAAATGCAAGTGATCAGCAACAACAGCATAGTAAAGGATATCTTGAAATAACTTCCATGCTGCATAGTCAAATGTCCTATCAAGTCCATTCCAACCCTTGTAGCACAGATGGGGCATACCTGAAAGGGCATTTCAGCAAATTCCATAAGTTTTTGTTGTCTAAATCTATTATATAGGATGATCTTAGTTGTAAAGCTGGTTAAATAGCTAACACTGCTTCTATCATGCCCTAAGAAATAAGAAAAGAAGTGACTAATCCATCTGTTACAAGTTTGCAGCAGTCTTCAGAATAGAGAGAAGATTTCAAGCCTAAAAAGTATAGATTCATCAAATGGAAAAGAAATACTGTAAAGGATAAAGAGCTGGAAGACAGCAATGAGTCTGGCAGAAATGATAAGAGGCAAATGACAATGCACCAAAGTTTTCTTCAAGTCTCTACAAGCAGAGACAAACAATTGGTATGGCATCAAAAAAGAAACTCTAGATAGTACAGTACCCCGAATGAGCTAGAAAATATTGTCTTAACACAAGGGATGAAAATGACACCAATGTTTGGGCAATGTTGAAGAAATGTGTGAGATCTATGTCAATCACATTTTGCAGTGGTTCGTCCTAATTAGTTTTGTACTTCTGCAAGGACAAGCAAAGCCAGGGTAGTAAACACTACCCTACTAAAGCTTGGCAGAAAATGGTAAGAACCCAATGACTGAGCTATATATTCATATCTCCAAGATAGGTAAGGTGAGTATTTGCCCACTAAGGCTTGAACACAGATAGGCCAGAGGCACAAACAGCATCTAGATAAAAAAAAAATGCACAAGGCCTTCCTGCTTCTAATTCCATTGGCCAGTTACCATTTAATATACTGATTAATATACTGACAAAACACTTGTACTAGCGATATAAAAATGACTGTTAAATAATGGTTCTACAAGGTGTGCAATATGTAATCCTACATATCTTAATCTAGTTTCCAAAAAGATATTTATATTCTATCCTTACTTGTACCCAAGTCCAGATGGATTAATCTGTTTTGTTGGTTCTTGTGGACAATAAATAACAAGCATTCGTTCATGAAAAACAAATCAATCACCAAATTAATTACCAAGTCAGAGTTTTACAACAGTCTTATTGGGACATTTCATGAAAGAAAATGGCCAGATTAAATGATTCGAACGAAAGTGATATGAAATGGCATACAAGATAGAATGGTCATCAGCTGCAAAGAAGGTAGTACAATCCTTCAGCTCCAAACTAAAAGCCACAAGAAATCCTAGCACAAACCCAAAAAATCATCCAGATCAGTACTTCAACTTCAACGTCAATGGCCCCTGTTCGTTTTTCAACTGAAATTTGGCTTATCTTTGATGCTTATGCTAATATGGGTGCTAACAGAAGATACCAACAAATGAAGCAGCTAATCTTAAACGCAAAACAAGAATAACAGATTACCTACTAGTATTCCATTGGTTCATTTTCAAGCATAGTCATAATTAGGAAATTACAACAAGAAAGATTGTCAAGTAAAAGGATTGTATGGGAAACTTCCAGCCCAAGCAACAAATGTTACACCTAACCCAACCCAAAAGACAAAAGTTCAACTAACCCATCAAATAAAACTAAAACCCTCTCAGTGCAGCCCAAATCAAAAGTTCAAAACAGCCACTTGAAAGGCAAATATGCCTCTAACAGGACACCCATGAGCTCACACAGAAAGAACACACACAAGCACAAGTGGCTGGAATGACTTAGCCTTTTCTGTTTTTTTCTCTTCTACTAATATAGCCAACGTGAGCTACAAATCAGGCTGTGATAGCCTCCTAATTAATGCAGAAGATTACCCAACTAATCAGCCTATTACTCCATGCTGAAAATTAGCTAAAGTAAATGCTATGCACCTAGACACTAGCATGCACCAACACACAAAGGATTATTTCCAACACCACTTTCCCAACAAACACACAAAATCATTCCAAATATGATTCCTCTAATCCAGCACATAAACACACCTACCCCAACCCCATAAGCAACCACATCCCACAATTCCAACCAACAATGCTCTATTTGTTCCATTCCATGACAACCCCTCCAGAAACAAGACAATCCACAGAGTAAGAAATTATATTTTTTTTCTATATGTTGGTCCCAAATTACCTCAGGGGAAAAAAAGGTGGAGGGGAGAAGAATCAGGCGTCATATTAGCATCCAAAGGTCTGATTTTCCACAGCAGACATGAAAGCTAAGAGATGGTTCGAACCACTTTAACCTGCAACCTCCATTTAACCATGACAATTGCGAATTGCAAAGGGGGGAAGAAGCATGCCTAGAAATGCGTAGTTGTACCGATGGCAGACATCATCACTTCATCAGATGATAAGAATTGGGCCAGGAACAAGTGAAAGCAACGTACGTACCCCGCTCTTAGCCTCAACGGCATGCTCGTCGTCGATGTGACAGCAGAGGCTGACGAAGTCGAAGTCCTCGTCGCAGAAGGGGCAGTTGTAGGGCTCCGCCCCGCCGCGCGGGTCCGTCACCTCGTCCCCGCCGGCGTCCGCGTCGTCGAACCCCATGTACAGATCTGCGCGCGGCACCAGCGCGCCGCGCGTAGACACCGCCCATCAAAACCAGCCGCGTGAAAAAAAAAATCGAATCAAAACGAACCAGAACCGGGAATGAAAACGATCGTGCCGGGCGTACGTACCGTAGCGCGCCTGCAGGCGCCTCGCGGCGGCGGCGGCGGCGGAAGAAGACGAGGACGACGAGCGGCCCCACACGTCGGCGGCGTCCATGGCTGCGGGGGACCGAAACCCTAGGCCGGCTCCCCTCCTCCCTCTCCTTCCTTCCTCACTGCTTCTCCCGCTTTAGAGGGCGGTGTTGGTGATGGTTTTGTCCGTCGGTGGTCTGGTCCGGGCCTCCTTTTCCTCAGTGCTCCTGCGTCTCTCTCTCAACGGCCGTGCGTGTGCGTGTGCGCGTGTGTGGTGGACTGATGGTGTTGGCTTCAGGCCGGTGGGCGGTGGGAGTGATGAGCGAATGACGTGCCAACCAGGGTGAACCTTGTGCACGGTGAGTCGTAGGGCTGAGTGTGGGGCACGGCATAACTACCGCTAATGGGCCCGTTTGCTTCTGATTTAAACCCCTTTTTCGGCTGTGGCTGTGCGGCCAGCCCAAGCAGATTCTTCCTGTCAGAGACGCCATTTTCATCAGCTTTGTAGAACAACTCTTTATTTTGATTTTTTTATATAACAAAAATCTTATTGACAGTTTGATAAAAAAAAAGCTCTTTAAAAATCAAAAGTCACTAAACACCGACGGACCTACATATCCTTCTTTCCTTTGTGACTTTTCTGAAGCCCACATGCTTTTTCAGCCCATGTTGTCTAAACTCTAGACGTCAGGTCATCGGTGTTCACAACGCATAAACACAAGTCTCCGCTCCTTCCGTCCTCCGCTCGCACCCTCTTCCCTGTTTGTCCCTGCCCTCAGCGTCTACGAATTGCCGACTCTGCAACCACCACCCCGCCGCTAGCCAGTGGCTAGGGGCAGCCCCATGCCCCACACATACTGACACAGAAGTCGTGCTTGGTGCTCCAACTGCTCAACTAGGGCTGCAAGGGGTTTAGTTCGAACCGCTTGGGAACACGGCCCGCTCCTCAAATTAGCGGGTGGATCGAATTGGATCGACTCTAAGTAGAAAAGGGGCAAAAGGGTCACTAACCCTATCGATCTGAAATGACCCTTGGGTCAACCCTCCACTTCATGTCACTCTTACTATCGCCTAGCCCCGATTGATTATAAAGTTAAATAAATGCTTGCATTGCTCCCTGAGTCTATGGAGCCAAGGGAAAATAAAAGGGGCGGTTCACCCGTGGGCCATTGGAGTAGGGAAATTAAAAGGTGCGGTTCGACCCTGATCGTAACACTGATTACAGCGGGGCAGCTAAAGGGTCGCCCCGACCCGCACCCTTTGTAGCCATATGCTCAACTGGTGCCTATGGCTTTGGCTCTGCCACTCTGTGTACGACCATTTTTTTTCCTTCCAAACTCCTTAATCTATAAGATTTACAGGATGTGTACTAAAAGTGGTTGATTGAGTATTTTGTTGTCAATCAAGATCTTCTCATTTTCATGAAAGAAAATTTTAGATGCTTTGCTAGTTGATTTGCCCTATCCCCAACTATACATGAGCATGCAGCCCACAGCCCGGTAGCCAAGCGCGAGGGCCGATTTTTTGGCCTGGCCCAACTCATTTAATACAATGACACTCAACAAGTTGACTTGACAGCTTATTTATGAAAAGAGACAGAGAGAGTTTCATAGACTTTGATCCCCTATCATATCAGCGTGTTTGGCTGGTAGATAAGAGCACTGTAGCTCAGCTGATTTTGATGATTGAATAGTATTCTGTGAGAGAGAATAAGCTGAAACAATCCAAGACCGTACCAGCCGAACGCGCTGATAAAAGCTGATATGGTAATCTTAATAATTGTGTCATGAAACTCTCCACTAAGATTAGCATGAGTAGATTTTGTTTTTCTTATCTCAGGCTTCGCTTGCAGCATATAACCATTAACCAGAAAGATCACTTGTAACAATTCGTTTGTGCTGACTGCTGCAGGCTCAGGCTTTGAGCTAACTTGCAGAATTCTTCGGTTTCCTTAAATCTGGCCATCTTAATTTGTTTTCACGGCGATCTCTCTTTCAGCCACTTTAACAGATCATCATACGCGAGCGAAAGAATAACAAACATTGGCACACAAGATTGTGTCCTTTCATAAGGTTACAACATATCATATATGCATAGACAGGTACAGTGTCCACCAGCAGCAAGGGTAGTTTAGCAGCAGGGACAACAAACAATAATAACTACAACATTGCAGTATCATCTGCGTTGATAGATTTTATTACTGCAAAATTGATCCCAGCAGCACTACCGGTAGTTACGGTAGACAGGAGTGTACATGCAGCTCTCTGCATATTTCACCAGGTCTCTGGGGGGAGGCAGACGTGTCGCCAAACCTGCAGAGGGAAGTTGATGATATCAGATCAGGCATGTATGAGACTTGGTGGTGAATGCCAAGATCAAGATGTGGAATGGTGTCTGCAAAGCAAAACAGAGGACGTGTGTACCAAGTTCATAAGCTTTTGCAGCCACGGCTGCAGCAATGTGCGCAGAGATCTTTCTAATGTTGGCGAAGGGTGGGAAGATCGATCCCTTGTCAAAGTTCTCCTGCGTGGCCTGAGCAGCTAGTGCTTCCGCTGTTTGAATGGATGAAACATGAGATTGGTCCGTAGTCTCATCAAGGTATGAAAAACGATTTTTTATGCCCAATGGTTTCCGTTTGGAGCTACTTACAGGCGGCAAGAAGCATGTCCTCGTGGACACGGATGGCTCCAGAAATAACAAGACCGAGGCCGAATCCAGGAAAATGTAGGCATTGTTTGCCTGTTGTAAATAGCCCAGTTGAGTTAGCAATAAACAACTTATGTTTTGCGGGTGTTTACACCAGCAAGATTGCATTGCCTAGTAGGATTTAATATTAAAAACAAGTTCTACCTGCCCAGGTACAAAAATCTTCCCATCGTACTCCACAGGGTCAAATGGACTGCCACTGGCAAATATTGCACGACCCTGAACATAGAGTGCAAATAAAGAGATATGAGTTGCAAACTACAGAAGTACAGACCCCACAAGTTTCTTTCTAGAAATCAGCCATTCCTTTTTTTTTTGTCCAATTAGATCACATTTTAATAAACAGGAAACTGAGCACAGGTTCTAGTGATGGCTACATTCAAAATGGTAGCCAGACAGTGCAAAAAATGCCAAATGTTTTGACTCAAGTGGACCAATTTGCAGATCAAACTCTGCAAAAGATGATTAGACGGTTCACCTGAGTCCAGTTATATGCTTCTTCAGCAGTACATTCAGAATGTGAGGTTGGATTTGACAGTGAAAAGATGATAGGCCTCTGCATTTATAATTAGCAATATCAGAGGTTAGCTTTCCATCCTCACAATATACCACCAAACAATGTCAGAAAAAAGAAAAAAAAATTACCTCATTGAAGGAAGCCATGGCCTCAACAACTTCTTTTTGTGAATGTTCTTCCAACTCCAGATGTCCCAATCAGAACTGTAGGTTTGATGGACTGGAGGATATGACGAAAGGTTAGTAAATTCTTTTCTTTGAAAACAGCACAAACAGGACAGCTTTAAGTGAAGGCAGCAGCTGCTAATGAACTGAAGTACAATATTAAATGCACATGAGCGTGACTACCTGAACAGCATCATACAAGGTTGTCAAGGGCTCATGCTCATGTGCCCAAGGTTTTTGAATGACTGAAGGAGTTTTTCCGAGAGTCAACAATCAAACCCTGTATACAAAATATCGTGTTAGGATGTCAGATAAACAGGTGAGCAAACATTGTACTAGCAACAGTGCATTTTCCTTTGGTTACACACCTTTGAGTCCACCAGCCAAACCTTCTTGCGGCACTCTTCAATTGGAGCCTTCGTCTATAAATCGATCCGACCAGTACATATTAGAGTAAGAACTAGGACAAAAGAAACCTACCACACATTCAGATACTAAAAGTATGTAGCTAGTTACCTGTTTTGAAATCTCAAGAGCAATGAGTTCTGCAATACCAGTTCCAGCCTGAAATCAAATACATTATCAGAATCTTATCGATCGGTCTACTTTCCTCGACAAGAATCTTACTAACGGTCACAATCCCATTTCAAAAGATACTAGTACATAGTATGCTTTGACAGTTGGGTGACAAAGAAAATAACAGTTTGCCAAGAGATGTTCTAACTAACCTCCCCAGCACCAAGGAATAAATAAGTGTGCTCTGCCAGGGTCCCACCAACCACATTGAGTGCTGCTAACACACCTGCAAGGACCACTGATGCTGTGCCCTGCAAACATTCATATTTCCAAATCGGTACCAATCACAAAAGGCAATAAACTGAAGGATAATGATCTCAATTAATTAAGGTTGCCCCCCTGGTATCAGTAAAAATAAACACCATGGGTGGTTCCATTTACCTGGATATCATCATTGAAAACAAGATGGCTCTTCCTATATTTTGAAAGCAAATCAAAAGCATTATGGTTGGCGAAGTCCTCGAACTGTCCAAAGTTTACAGCGTTACATTTTGCGATAAAGAGTAAATTGATCCGGCATAGCAAAAGTACAATGTTGAGTCCAACTCACCTGAATGAGGACTTTCTCACCGTAGATTTGCTTAACAGCAGCCATGAACTCTTCAATAAGCTCATGATACTCCTGCCATTAAGGAAAATGCACAGATAAGATCTCAAGTGTCACATATTTTGCCAATTCCTAACTCCCAGCAATCTCGACACAACTACATACCTCGCCAGTTGCACGTTTTTGCCGGAGTCCAATGTAGAACTCATCATTAAGCAGTTTCTCATTATTTGTGCCAACATCAATTGTGATAGGCAAACACTGCAACGTAATTTAGAATTCACCAATTGAGATAACTTAGTTGTTTGTTGGTACCAAACATACAGGACCATTACAAGAGATGCAACCAAAAAGGGGACAGAAAAGATATGATCGCTTACAGCTGATGGACGAACTCCTCCAAGAGCAGTGTATAGAGCAAGTTTGCCTACAGGAATTCCCATTCCCTATAGAAGGATTCAGTATAATATAAGCAAAGGCCCTCAAGTAATAAGCAACTAATGAGACAATCATACCTGAGAACCCAAATCTCCAAGTCCCAAGATTCGCTCACCATCAGTAACACAGATAACTTCAATGTTCCTATGTGGCCAGTTCCTTAGAACTTCTAGGACCTTCCCCCTGGAATGCACCTCACGGTCAGTCCAGATCAAATAGTTAGATGGTAGACAGCTATATATTATTGTAAAGTTCAAGCAAATATAGGCACACATACTTGTCCCTCAGGCTGACATACAGACCCTGTGGTTGTCGAAAGATGGACCCATACTTCTGGCAGGCCTCACCTACAGTTGGTGTGTAAACCACAGGAAGCAGCTCCTCCACATTATCAATTAAAAGCTTGTAGAAAAGCCTTTCGTTCCTCTCCTGAAAACAGGAGGTGTTAAGCCCAATGATGCAACCAACCATTCATTCTAACTGAACATCTCATATCAATTTTGCTGGCCGTCGCAAGCTTTCATATAAGAGTAGAAAGGATAAACTGGGGTTACCTGAAGGTCCATCATGGCCATATAGCGCTGCAAAGGGACCTGGTACTGCCGCAGGTTGTGCATGATCTTCTTAACCTACATATACATTAAAGTGATCTTCAGTATAAAAAGAAGAAAGAAAGGTCAGCATAACAACAGATACTGTTCTAGCCAGTATTGTGCTCCATACTTGGAGTTCCTGAGACACAACTGCAGGAGGAAGCAGACCACGCAAGTGGTGTGCATCCCTCTCCTTCTCCATGAAAGCAAGACCCTTGTTGTGATGTGGATCCCTCAAGAGGGTGTAACCGCTAATGTAGAAATAAGACACGTCAGCATATTTTTCAACCAAGTGAAGGAAACTTATTTATTGGAAAGAATTATGGTCGTAGATTCAAAGAAAGGCTTTGCAACCAGCAGTGAACATTCTAGAGCCCAGATATTTTTCCTTTCTTTGGGTGACATGGTCATATTGATGCATCATTCACAGTAGATTACGTGACAAATTTGATTTGGTAATATATTACCATAATATGGTTGCAACTTAGTATCAATTTCCATCATATTTCACTGTCGAAGGGGTAGCGGCAGAAACCAGACAAATTCATATCGCTGTGGGCCAGCTTAGAATATACTTGCATGAAACAGGAAAACCCCAAAGCAAAGCAGACAATTCCTGGCTTTGCTCAACAACTCTGGACCTAACTCAGCATGAGTTCATTTGTGACACCAACCCGATTCAGAATTCTACAACAACGCCAAAAAAAAAAAACATTCCGTTCGGAATTCCACAACACCGCCAAAAAAACATTCAGAATTGAGAATTCTACAACACCGCCAAAGAAAAGTTCCGAAAATGAAACTTGCTAGAAACTCCCATGTGACATATGGTGATTTAACAAATCTAGACCATATCAGGCTGGAGCTTCTTAGTTAAGCTGAAGCACGTTTCGATAAATTATTATTGAAATGAAACTAAAATAAAAGGCAAATTAAATGGTAAAGTTGCCTTCGGTGCAGCTAGTCATGCACGCGTGCACTAATAATAGAACAGGCAATTAGATTTTTTTTTATAAGAACAAGCAATTAGATTTGACTAGACGCAAGCAAGCAATAGTAGAATTAGAACCAGTATGTATATGGTAGAGCTAAACAGCCAGAGCCCCAAGCATCTAGGCTCCTAGACACGTCAGCATCACGCGGACGAAACCGCGTACCAACCCCGGATCAATACGAGAGTCTGAAGCAAACCAGCACAAGTAAACAAAACCCAGATCGGCGGCGCATCGAGACCTCCGCCAGCCCACCCACCCAGATCCAATTTAATTCCCGAATTCACACCCCTGCCGCGACTCGCCGGCTCACCTTGCGACGGAGAAGGCCCAGGGCATGATGGGCACCTCCTCGGCGGCCCCGTCCTCGCCGTAGTGGTCCTCGACGACGACGCCGGCCGCGGCCGCCTCCACCTCCTCCTGCTCCTGCTCCTTCTCCTTCTCCGTCTCCGCGGCGGAGCCCATCGCGACCGCCTCCACCCGCCTCGGCGGCACGGCGCGCACCTTCACCGCCGCGGCGCTCCTCCGCAAGGTATTCCTGTAGGTCCGGCATCCGTCGCAGCTGCTGCCGCCGCCCTCGCTTCGTCCTCCCCGCTTCCACTGCGGAGAATAAACAGACACACACGCACACAAAAGCTCAACTGGTCAGGTGGTGGCAACTTCGACTGGCTGGACGAGGAGAGTAGCCCGCAATTGCGATGCCCGGCGCGCGGAGCACCGGGAATCACTAGCGGAGGGAAGGTGCTGTAGAAGGGTGGTTAGGCCGCTCGTGGAACGTACCGGGGAGGCGGGGGACGCGGCGGTGCGCGCGGAGATCATGGTGGCGTCGAGTTCGGCGGGTGGAGGGAGAGAGGGAGGCGGGAGCGGCGCGGCAGTGGCAACTGGCGGCCTCCTCCTCCCCCTTCGGACTCGGAGCTGGCAGTGTGGAGAGATGCGGGCGGGTGGTGAGGGGTACAAAAAGGGGGGCCTCGGCTCGGGGCGGTGCGCGTTGTAGTTTTCCGCGTGTGCCGCGCACATGGACGCGGGGGCCGCGGTGGGGTCGAGCTGGGAGAGGGAGGGTATTTTAATTCGGGAGAGAAGCCGCTGCGGCCTGCGGGCTGGTTGCCTGCTGCGCACCGTGACCTTGGGTATTGACGGGGGTGTCCCCCCGTTTTAGCCGACGGGATGATTGTTCGCTGAACCTTGCGACCTTGCCTGGTTGGCCCAGTACACGTCGTGCTGTGGGTTAGTCGGCTGCGGTAGCTGCACTGCAGCGTTATTATTAATCTAATTATAATTATAGACCAGTCTTGTCGGGTCATATTCTCGGAGTGTCTAAGAGCAGAGGGCCCTATAGTTCGTAACACAGCAGCTAGCAAAGGCCCGAACGACCGAGGCTCAGTAAAAAAAACGAGCAGAGCAGGCCGGGCGCTAAGGCGGGGGGCGATCACGATCCCTTCCTCCAGCATTAGCCGTCTTGACCCCTAGCAGAGACAGGGAAATGTTGAGCCCCGCGCGACGCGTCCGATCTGACGAAGGCAAGCACGCCACACTGACTCCGCAAGGACCGATGTGACGGCGGTCATCTCGGTCCGATCAGAAGCCAACCCAGCGCCATACCGCACAAACAAGACAATACCGCATGACGGAGGCAACAGGTACAACACCCACCATCCAGATATAAACTGACGGGACACGCATACGTTCCCACCCACTACGGGATGGGATCCATAACAAGGGTCTCAACCTAGAGATCTCCCTGGTTCACGGAGTGCCCCGACCCCCAATGATCGGGGTCGTGGCCCTCAGCCCCACAAAGCGACCAGGCGAACAACGACCGAGGGTGGCCACCTACCATGGGTACGACGTCCCGGGGAACCTGGAGACGACGGCGAAGACCATGACGAATGCCGTGTTGCACAGGACAGCTGACGAACTATCACCATGGCTACAGTGCTGCCACGACCAGCACATTAGCACCATGTTAGACCTTGCCGCGACGTAGCCACATGACCATGACGATAGCCACGCCCGGGCGAGCATCAGAAGACGACGTAGCTTGCAAGCCAAGTTAGCTAGGACCTCCCTCAGGCTCTCGACCCTTCGATCGGGGGAACCTCCTCTTTGTAACGAGCCCTGGCCCCGAACTCTATATAAGGGCAGCCAGGGCTCCCATCTCGGGACACGGTCTCATTTTTCATCCTCTACCATTCAATTCATCCACCATAGCAGTAGGGCTCCTGGAGCTTCTCTCCGGGCTACCCCTCGTCTAGCATAGGTTCTACCACCTCTTTCACCATTCTTGCACCCCAATTATAAGAACTTCAGAGCATTTAAGCGAGGAACACGCACTCGATCATCTCTGAGACTGGACGTAGGGCTCCGGCCTGAACCAGTATAAATTCTCGTGTCTATTAGATGCTACCATCATCTTCCTAAAGCAGCGCGGCAATCATATAAATTTACTAGAGCAGGTAGGGGACAGTCACGCACTCTCGATTGTTGAGAAGGAAGTGATGGCTTCTCGCACCATCGATGAACTCGCTGGCCACATCCGCCGTGAAAACTACGAGTCCATTGGCGTCAAAGGGCCAGTGCCCATGTTCGCCTCCGACCGCGGACCAGACCTCCATCTTGGAAGTCGGGATCCCATGGCCTATGGCAGACACGCTCCCAGAACTGCCCTCGGGAGCTACATCCCGGAGTGGACTCGCAAAGGGGGGCCAGCACCCCCTCTCGCCACCGACTACGGGCACGCTCATGGAATGGCCTACGGTGGCCACATCCAAGAGCGCACCACAACGGAAGGGCCGCTATCTTCCCGCACCGAAGATCATGATCGAATCCCCCAATTTGGGAGCCCTGAGCTCTTAGGCCATGGCAGGCGAATCTATGGAACAACTTTTAAGGGCCACGTCCGGGCATTCGATGTAGCAAGACAACCGATCCCCCTGATCAGCGAACCATCCGACGATGAGTCAAAGCTGAAGTCGACTTCAGCGGGGCTTCATCGGGGAGGAAGGTCAACGTGACCGCAACCCAGACCAAGACCACCCTGGCCTACCTAAAATGGTCGGAAACAGCGATCACCTTCGATAGGACCGATCACGCCAACCACATTCAGCCACCAGAAAGTCTTCCCCTCATCGCCGCTCGATTACAACGATTGGAGGAACATGACTCACCAAAGTGTTGATGGATTTGAGGAAGCGGACTCAATGTCCTCTACTTTGCGGGTGTATGATGCTATAGGCCTCTCTAGAGCAAATGACATGACCCAACGAATGCCCCGATCTACGGGGTGCGCACTGAGCACGAATATCACCCCTCGGGTGCGCCTTACCCGTCACATTCAGAGGACAAACGAATTTCGAACCGAGACGCTTGACTTCGAGATAATTGACCTCCCCAACTCTTACCATGCCGCTTTGGGCCGACTGTACTACACAAAATTCATGGTCATCCCTAATTATGCCTACCTCAAGCTTAAGTTCCCGGTCCTCAAGGGGTCATCACGGTCGGTGGTGACTGCACCAATCCACATTCCTATGAGGAGGAAAACCTCAACATCAGTAGCGACAATGAGCTTCGAGCCTTAGAGTTGCGAACTATCCAGCCACCATGACCAAGTCGCGCTTGAATCCAAAGCACAAGGAAGCGATCTGCGGGGCCTTTAAGCCCATCAAGACACCAAGGCGGTACAAGTCGACCTCAAAGATACTAGCAAAAACTGTTTCGAATCGGTTGTGGCCTCTCCGACCATCAAGAGCGCGAGCTCATCAACTTCCTGCTCCAAAATCGGGACATCTTTGCATGGAAAGCATCCGATATGCCAGGAATCCTGAGGCAGGTCACCGAGCATAGCCTCGATATTCTAATCGGTTCCAAACAGGTCAAATAGCGCCTCCGTCGCTTTGATGACGAAAGGTGAAAGGCCATTGGGGAAGAGATCGCCTGCCTCCTGGTGACAATATTCATCAAGGAAGTTTTCCATCCAGACTAGATCGCAAACCCGGTCCTAGTTTGGAAAAATAACAGGAACTGGAGGATGTGCTTGGATTACACCAACTTGAACAAGGCATGTCCAAAGGTACCTTACCCGCTACCGCGAATCGATCAAGACGTCGATTCGACCACGGGTTGTGAAAACCCTCTGCTTCCTGGACGCGTACTCGGGGTATCATCAAATCACGATGAAGGAGGACGACCAGCTCGCCACCTCCTTCATCACCCCATTCGACGCATACTGCTACGTCACCATGCCCTTTGGGCTTAAGAACATGGGAGCCACTTACCAAAGGTGCATGAATCGGTGCCTTGGTGGGCTCATTGGGGACATCGTAGAGGTCTACATTGACGACATCGTCGTAAAGTCCAGGAAAGCCGACCAGCTGGTCGGCAACCTAGATGCCGCCTTTGCCCGTCTTAGAGAATTCATGATCGTGGCATCGAAGCCAACCCGGAGAAGATCACAACGATCATTAATCTGGGCCCCATCACGAACCTAAAAAGAGTCCAAAAGCTCATGGGATGCTTAGCCTCCCTCAGCCGCTTTATCTCACGGCTGGGGAAGCGTGGCATGCCACTATATAAGCTATTGAAAAAGGCTGCCAGTTCACCTAGACGGCTGAAGTGCAGGAGGCCTTCGAGAAGATCAAGACATTCCTAGCGACGGCCCCCACGCTGGTGTCGCCCGAGAAGGGAGATCCACTCCTCTACATTGCCGCAACCACGCAGGTGGTCAGCACGGCACACATCGTCGAGCAAGAAGAGAGCGGATACTCCCACAAGATCTAGAGGCCAGTGTATTTCATTAACGAGGTTCTCTTGGACACCAAGGTGCGTTACCCGCAAATCTAGAAGCTCATCTACGCCATCCTCATCGCTAAACGAAAGTTACTACACTACTATGAAGGGCACCCCATTGTGGTCGTGGCGTCTGCCCCGCTCAGCGATGTGGTTCAGAACCGCGATGCCTCTGGCCGCATGGCCAAATGGGCAACCGAGCTCATGGGCTACCATATCACGTACGTCCCAAGAACAACGATCAAATCGCAAGTCCTCGTGGACTTCATCACCGAATGGACTAAAGTGCAAATGCCCCCACCTCTGACCTACCAGGAGTACTAGACGCTATATTTTGACGGGTCGCTAATGGCCACGGGCGTGGTGGCCGGGATCGTCCTGGTCTCCCCGACAGGGGAGCACAGGGAGTACGCCATTCGACTCCACTTCCGGGCAACCAACAACGTCGCGAAATACGAAGCCCTCATCCATGGCCTTAGAATTGCTTCCGAGCTTAGCACCAGCCGCCTCTTTGTTAGGGGGGACTCGGAGCTGGTCGTTAGCTAGGTCATGAAAGAAGCGTCATGTCACGATAGCAAGATGGCGGCTTATTGCAACGAAGTCTGTAAACTCGAAGAAAGATTCAATGGGCTAAAACTCCACCACATTATCAGGTGGGACAACCTAGCCACCAATTCCCTGGCCAAGATCGCATCGAGTTGGGGACCGGCTCCACCGGGAGTGTTCTTCAACGACATGCATGAACCGTCGGTGCAAGCCCATAGACTGCACGAGCAAACGATGGGCATGGCTGGCAAGGCGGAACCCGCCCTCCCGGTTGAACACCACCATGACCCGAAGGACACGAGCCCTCCTGACCTGATGGCGATCGACTAAGTGGCGGCAGACACCGGGACAGACTGGACCACACCTTTCATAGATTTTCTAGCACGAGAAAATTTTCCTGACGACCTTACGAAGGCGCGGCATCTAGCAAACGTTGCAAATCATACATGATCATTGGTAACGTCCTCTACAAACGCAGCACCTCAGGG